CTCTCTCTCTCTCTCTCTCTCTCTCTGCCTTTCTCCCTCTCCCCCGCTTACACACACACACTCTCTCTCTCTAAAAAGAAAAAACAAAAACAAAAAACAAAAAAAACCTTGACATCTTTAAACAAGATTTTTCTTGACTTATCAGTTTAGCAAAGCTTTAAAAAAAAACTCTGTAGGTGCTCTGTGTTGGAGAAGGTGTGGGGGAAACACTTCTTGAAGTTTCTGGGAGGTGACACGCCCTAGTTTTCTTCCCGCCTCCCCAGATGCTCTCTAGATGCTTTTTGCTGGTGTGTGCTCCTCTCCCAAGAGTTTCTCAAGACTCTGCCCCGGGCCCTCTTTCTTCCAAACCCTGTACCCCCTTTCTCGGTAATCTCATCTATGCCTGTGGCTCCCGTTTTATTCACAGAAGCCTCTTTTTTTAAAGCTTATTTATTTATCTTGAGAGAGAGAGCGTGCGCGGGAGAGTAGTGGAGGGGCAGAGAGAGAGGGAGAGAGAGAATCCCGAGCAGGCTCCTCACTCTCAGCACAGAGCCCAGCGCTGGGCTCGAACTCACAAACCTTGAGATCGTGACCTGAGGTGTGAAATCAAGTCAGTCGCTCAATCGCCCCACCAAGGCGCACCGAAGCCTCTTCAACGCACGTGTCCTGCTCAGGCTTTTCCTCTTGAGCCGTGGACCCAGAGAATGGCCTGTCTGATTTCTTCTGGATGTCTCAGGGGCGTCTCAGTTTTGTCGGGCTCCAGCCGAGCGCCTCATCCTCCCCCAGCAAACCGTCAACTTCTCCTGCGTGTCTTGTCTCAGTGGATGGTAGCCTCACTCATTCGAGTGAGCAAGCCAGAAAGCGCAGGGTTCCCTTTGCTAATCGTTCCCTCTTCCCTCATCATCAACCAGTCACCGAGCACGGCTGACTTTCCCCTCCTAATTCTCTCCGCAGTGTGCGCCCCGTCTCCACCGCCACCACAGTCGGAGCCAGGGGTTCTCAGTCTAGGCACGATTTATATTTCCGGCCAGGTAGTTCTTTGTTGCGGGAACAATCGTGTGTACTATAGGGTGTTTACTTAGTAGCATCCCTGGCCTTTAGCTGCTAAATGCCAGTAACACCCTCACGCACGGTGTGACTATCGAAAACGTTTCTAGAGATTGCCAGGTGTCTTCCGAGGGGGCAACATGTCCCTGGTTGAGAACCTCTGGCCTGAGCTAGCATTCTCTTTCTCCTGGATGTTGGCAACGGTCCCACCTAGTTCTCGGTGTCTACTTTCTCCCCTTCAGGTCCATTTTTCTCACTACCACCGACTTCATCTCGTCAAAACACAAATCTCGCCGTGTCGGCGCCTCCTTAACAATCGCTCCTGTGCTGTCCATTCCTCG